TTCTCAAGAGTTTTCTCAAGATTTTCACTGATGCTGGCCATCAATCTCGCGAGTAACAACGCTGATAATAGTTCCAACCTCGGAATTGTCTGCTGTGAAGTTGGGAGGTACTCTTGTCTTCGATGACATCAGAATGCACCTAATACCTGTATCAGTCATAGTTAACAAATAGACTACGGCAGCGTATGCCTTCGCAGACGCATCACAAAATCCGCATAATTGATATAAATTTATAGCACGTTCACCCCCAGATCCCTTAAAATAGTATCTTGGTATTTCAATGAAGTTGGATCTTCTCAATTCACTGACTAGTATTCTCCACCTGTCTAGCAAGTCTCCAGTCAGCTGTTGATCCCACCCTATCCTTGACTTGTGAAGCTCCTGGAGGAAGATCTTAAGTCGTATGGTAATAGGTGTAAGTATTCCTAGAGGATCATAAATTTGACCCACTGCTAGAACATTCCTCTTTGTTGGTCCAGTCACATTTGCTAGTTCACCTACTTCCCTGATGTCAAAGACAAGGGCATCTTCTTTAACCTTCCATCTGATTCCAAGGACCTTCTGCTCAGTCAAATGTTCTGGTGAATTACCCAGAGAAAATTTCGCGTACGATTCATAATTACATAAGTATCAATAACACTTCCACTTGCAATGTACTTATGCAAATTAAACCCTCCTTCACTCAAAATTCTTTTATAATCACAATACAATTTCCATACACCCTCTTCTGTATCTGCCCCCCCAATACTATCATCAACATAAATGGACTTAAGTAAAGATATTACCACAAGTGGATCTGAGTCCCTGTAGTGCTATACATGGTGTCTTATGGTCGCCTTCAATAAGAATGGACTTCTATTTACCCCAAAGACCACTCTAGCGTATCTCAAAACTTGGGTAACTGGTGGTTCTTCATCAGGATTCCTAATTTAGAGAAAGCGGAGCACGTCTCTGTCCTTCCTCACCAATGAGACCATCAAAAAGGCCTTCTCTATATCGGTTGTGAAGGCGTGCCTATGGAATCTGAACCTCAGTAAAATACCCAAAATCATTTGGTTAAATCTCGGTCCAACGTGTAGGCAGTCGTTGAGTGAGGGTCCATTGCTCCTAGCTGAAGCATCAAAAACCACTCTCACCTTTGTAGTTGTCCTATTCCTGCGCACTACAGCATGATGGGGAAGACAATGGACCTTCTCTCCATCCACTACACCGGGATCTTCTACAGTTTCCACTATTCCCCTTGCCAACTAATCCTTAATCACAGTATTATTTGGAACCTGTAACCTCATGCTTTTAACTTCTGGAACATCAGGCCTTATTCACTAGTTACTCCTGGGCTGATGTTGTGTATTTACAGTTAAATTCTATTGCCACCCCGGCGTTTAATCAAATGTGGCTTCTATTTAAGGATATATGGTAAGTGTATTGATTAAATATAAAGCTATTATTGGGGATTAATTGAATCATAAGTAAAGAAATAACTATCAATAAATGAAGCAATGCTATGCAAAAATTTCAAAGCTAGGCGATTTAGAAAGTAAAACCACCTCTCTTATTGAACAGACTTAGAATATTTTCTGTTGAGGTGATTGTATCACATAATTGTAATAGATAATGTTTGTAATATGTAGCAGAATGTAGCGAGTCCTCCTGAGTGTCTATATGTGGAATTCTAATGATATTTGTACCAGTTGCACATTGCAAATGCAACCATAATGCCTTAGGCCTTGTGTACAAAAAAAAAAGTTTAGAAAGGTATCCTTCTGCAGCTGTTTCCTGGTTTCATTGTGGCAAAATTTTAAAACCATCTGCAATATGTGTCGTTTTCAAATCTAAGTAGTTCATTGTTTAAAATTAAGGGAAGAAAGTGATGAAAAGGCTAACAATTCTGAGAAGGTCATATGACCAAAATGGAGGCAAGCAGAAGTCAGACAGCACCATTGTGTTGATGCACTATTGTATAGAGTCTCCTGTCATACCAGCTGAGCTGTTTGCCAATGGATCTTGCTACATTAAATCATCATAAATTGAAAAGAAAGTGGCTTAATCTCATTGGTGCACTGTTCAATAGGTTTCAAAAATGAAAAGGGTAAAACTTCTAGGGTAAAGGTACAGTTTTGGGGGATAATTTTGTAAATGATGTTGTAGTACTTGAGTCAACAAGGACGTTTTAATGAAATAGCGCAATCCAATTTGTCCATGCATGGAAAAGAAACTCACCAACATGATAGAGTGTGCTGACGTGGAAAGACAAATTGCACTTACATTGTACTATGTAGCAGTTGAGGGGCATTGCAATGATATTAAATTTCTTTAGATTAGTGAGATCAACTGTGTCAGTAATGACCACAAGAGTGACATTCATGGTAACTACAAGACTTGGCCCAAAATACATCAAACCACCTAGAACTGTAGAGGAAGTGCAGGATTAGGTAAAAAACTTCTATATACAATATGGTATACAACAATGAATTGGTGCTATTGACAGTACTAACATGAATATTGAATCTCCACGTTCTAGTAGTACTGCATACATCAATAGAGAAAGTCAGGTTCTTAATGTGCATGCCTTCTGTGACTGCCGTTGTTGGAGAAATTTCCAATGAGAAAATAAAATGAATAACTAATTGTGAATTATTTTAATTTTTTAAAAGCCATCTTGTTCCGAGATTAAGTTTAATTTCAAAATAAAGCAGTTACAGTTAATAACGTTAAAGAGACATCAAGGAGCTTAATGGTAGACTAAGAGAGTCATGGGAATTAAATATAGCACTTCTGCTATTGTAGAAAGTAACAACAGCACAGATTCTCTCTCACAAGTAGCATTAAATAACAAAAATGATGATTTAAGAAGTACTATAATACCATACTAGTTTGAACCTGAAGGCAGTGAAGTTAATTCAGAAAAGAGTCCAGTTGATGAAATTGAGATTATGTTGAATAATACAAACTGGTATGAATTATAATTGCAGTTCTTATTCTTACATAATACAGGTGCTTATGTGGAAACTGCTGTGCATTGCCTACTGTTAAAGAAAGCATTTGTCATCATGAAATAGATCAATTAAATCTTAAAATAGATGAAAAATTATTATTATGTATTACAGAACACCTGGAATTCCCAAACGTGTATCCTATTATATGGGTACTTCGAGCTTGCCATAATAATTTTTGGCTTTATTATGGCAGTGACTAAGAAAGGCACACAAGATATGAGTATGTTATCATTACAACTATTATTGCTTGATTATTAAAATGACAAAAGGAAGTATAGGTTCACTGCATACCGTCAAGTTACTGCTTCATGTCATGGATGGCTAAGGAAAAGAAAAAGATTACTTTTACTAAGTTGTGCCTTAAACAAGACGGAACACTTTTCCAACAGCTAATGCGTACGCTGGTTATACAAATTAACAAAGAAGTTATTATGCTTGCATTATATCTAACATGTCTATATGTATACATATATAGGGTGCTTTTTCTATTGCCCCCAATGCTGCCTTATGGCATTCTCCCATTGAGGAAAGTGATTCTGTGTCTTCAGCTATTGTTGCTAAGTTTGACAATCTCGAGGCTATGGGTGACTATCTGCGACACTTTTCACTGTATGACACATTACTCGTGCTCTGTTTCTATTTTCCTATTCCCCATCTTATGTTTCTACTCCGCTCTTCTCCAGCTTTTGTGTGTCCCATTTTAGGTGAGTATGACTCAATATTGGGTGGTTTGCTAAGTTCTCTGTTTAATGTCCCTATTGATGTAGACAGTCCTTGATGGTCCCAGGCTTCAATTTCCATTCATGTAGGTGAGTTGGGGTTCACGTCAGCAGTGCAGCACGCACCGTCCTGTTTTCTTTCCTCTGCTGCT